AATTATGGTTCCCAGTTGGGAATTCTAGGATCGGTAGGTTCCGGTTGGAAGTATAATGTTTCAAACGTACGCAGCAAAAAATGCTTTGTGAAGGACAGTCGTTCTCTGAGATGTTTGTCAATTTTTCCTTTCAATGCGTTATTTGCTCGGAAATATTATGATTATTTTATTTCTTTTTCACTGGGGTCACTTAGATCCCAATTAAAAGCCGCTATTATTAACAAAATATAGCATATTATCGATTGCCATGTGATTTATTATTATTTAGGAGCATTGTAAATATAGATTTACTCACTGTTTTTTTTTTTTAAGAAATGAGGGGAAACCAAAAAAATATTTAAAAATCGGAATAAGCACATCAAGTGCTTTATTATGACATTATGATTTATTTCTAATAAATGAAGATATAAATTTAAAAAACGCTGTTTTATTGCCTTTTTTCGATAGAATAAAATATTTAAAGGTTCGTAAAGAATAATTATTAAAAAAGATTGAGAATATATTAAATAACATTAACTTTATAAAATGATGTAACGTTAATAAATATTGTTTGATGTTTACCGAATATGGGTGCACACGACTTCATGCAAACTTATTGTTATTTTGCATTCACAATACGAACTCTTGCTATATTCAACTAATATTATAACGTGAAAAGTCACCTGGGGTCATTTTGTACCCCAATGTATTTTTACAGGCTTATATTATAAACAAAACGGAACACAGTCTATTCTCGTTGCATAGGTTAAGTGTCTAAATATCTAAATGAAAAGTAAATATCGGTTCGGTAAAAAAACTCCACTGCGACGTGAGCTTCATTTTCTAACCGCTGGGGTATGAAATAACCCCAGATGATTATTTCCGAATTAATACGGATGTTTCATCATAATCCGCAAGTAATCCCGACTAACAGACTATTCGTCGGCACAACATTGCTACCTAATGATTCTTGGGAGATTATGAAGATAAAGGGGGGGGGGAGAGGAGGGAAACCACCTCTCGACACGTGGAGTGAAACTAAAGATTTGGTAGGATTGTATATCGAATTCCGAAGCGGGCGGGTCGCAGAAAATTGGAAAAGTTGCCTCCCTTATCGTAGTCGATTCCGGCAAATGGCGGTCACGAAGCGGCAAAAATATTTTATTGGAAATAGGAAAACACCGAGCGCAAAAACGTAGACCTGAATGCCGGGCGAATGCGCGGCCACCGCCGCCGCCGCTCCGTCCACTCGCATTCGCGGTTTTGGCTGTAATGGCTTCGCCGCGGATTGATCTCGATTTTGTTTCTTGCCATCGGATCACTTTTGCGGTGAAGCTTACTCGCGATTACTCGCCGCTATGCACGCCCCGGATTTCTATGTTTTGCGCCACCGTGCCACCGCTATGTGCTCCCACCACGGCGAAGAACGCGGCGAAGAAATAAAGTTCCGAAGCGGAAAACGCGAGACTTGCTTTTTACGTCGCACGAGTCTCCCGCTTACAAGTATGCGAATGCTGTGCGCGCGTTGAAAGTTGTCGGGAACCATATCCTCGTCGCGAACTTGCGTCTCCCATTCGCCGAGTACGACTCGATTGACAGCTCCGTCAAACTCGCGTAAAGCTTGCCTCGTGAAAAGTGTCACATGATACCAATTAGGTTACGGGAAATCGTTCGGTTGCTTCGGAAAATGAATCGCTGGAAAAAAGGAATGTTTAACATCTGTAACTAACGTAAGTGAATAAATTATTGTCGGGAGAACTATTTTTCTAGTAAGTGTTACTGTCGCTAAAAATTACACACATATTGTCACTAACATTTTTTTTACTAACGTAAAAACTAGAAGAAGGTGCAAAAATGACTATAATTTTAGAGGAATTTCTCTCAGCGGCGTGGAGGTAAAACGGACGTAGAGGTACAGTAGACAGTCAGACGGTGGTTTTCTTTGAGAGGACCACTTCCTGTATATTACTTGTTCCTTTCTTCAATGTTATATCCGTTCACACAGATATTTTCACACGGCTATCGGATATATCCACGCGCACAATGAGAAAGAGATTTGAAGTTTAATATCGCTCGAGTTATAATTATTCTCGGCGCCAACTGAATTTCTACTTGTTATTCCAACGGAAAAATAGCAGTAGCAATTCGCATGTAAAGTCATCATCGCTAATACTATGGTGCCATTTAGGGGAGAACCGTGCTCGTAATATTTCTTGCATACTAGTTAAAAACAGATACATGGAATATTTTACATCGTGTATATTTTAGTGTAACTGCACATTTTAGCTTTTAGAAGGAAAGAATATTAGACTCGTAAAAACAGGGGAACCTGGGAAAACTTGATCCTTTGTAGGACTTCATCCCTAGCCGTTATTTCGACAATAAAAAGATTTCATTTGTTTTTCTTCATGCGAATGTGTTAAGCTGACGCGATGGGAAACACGCATCTCTGTCAAATGTATGCACACTGCGACCCATCCGTGAACGAACACTACACTGAAAAAAGGATTTGGTAATAAGTATAAAAATTTGGTGAATATTTGCCGCCCAAATATTTGATTGCTGCAAGCAAATAATTTAGTCTTGTGCACTAAATATACAATATACGGAGCATAATACTGCATATGGAATTAAATCGTTTGGCTGCAGCAATCAAATATTTTGTCAGGAAATATTCACGAAATTTTTCTACTCATTACCAAATCCTTCTTTCAGTGCAGACGAATATTCTTCTCCCTCTGCTGTTTGACATTCTTTCCCTTTCTCAATTTAACACGGTATGTTCGTACAAATGAGCGTGCGCAAACGAACAGTTTTAATACCTCGTCGAGAGCTGAGCCAACACCGCAACGAGCCGCGTTACGAGACATCAGCCTCGATAAACTCGCGAGTTCATAAAGTTCTAACGAGGTTCCACGGTGGTTCACCCCTCTAGGGAACCAGGAGAACGAAAGAGAGAGAGAGAGAGTGAGAGGGAACGCCTTCCTCCTTTAAGCTTGTATAAGAAACTATCGAAGTTCGGCGAAAAACCCACCGCGAAAATTTGCGGCTGACGCTTCAAACGCTTTATTGCCCTTATCAATTATGCCCTCTTCGCTTCCTCGTCTTTTTTAACTCGCCGAAGATTCCGCTCTCTTGGTTCCTGACGTGGAAGTAGCTCATCGTTTCGTGAACGAACGGCCGTTGCCGAGAATTTTCGTCCTCGGTGTCGGCAGGATAAATGTTAAAAATCATTATCTGAAAATTAAACGAGCGTACTCCCTCTCTCTCTCTCTCTCTCTCTTGAGGTGCGTAAAGAAATTTTGCGGAATAACAATCCGGTGGATCAATTCGAGAGAGATTGCAATTTAGAGCGCACTCGAGAAAAGTTCGACGACTGGCCGGGAACCCCTCCGTAAACCTCCCGATTTTTCGCGCATTTCGCCGGTTCTTCTCGCGCTTACGATCCCCAATTAATCCGCCGTTGGAGAGACGAATCCGCCTCCTCCGTCTCACCTGGAATCGACGGACGGTGCTCGGCGAGCGCGCGACGTCCTCTCGTAAATTACCGATTTTATGAACGCACATTACAGCCGCCGACGAAAAAGGTCGGACGGCCGATCACCACGAGCGGGAAAAGCGCAGTAAAACTTCCCGCGCGGCTCTCTCGCGTCATCGAAACTCGAGTAAGTTCGCGAAACGGCGCGAACGGAACAAGGAGGAGCGCCGGGAGAAGAACGTCCGAGTTCTCGAACGGCCCGGCGCGTTTACGAGGCGCGATTAAGCGTTTTATGGGCCCTATCAATTTTCGAACGCTGCGACTCGCACTGGGGGATTAGTCCCGGGTCGCCGGTGTCACCGTCGGGGAACCGGCTGGCGGGATCGCGCCGTCGACATGCTCGCGAATTGTTTCCGTCGACGACGACGCCGGCGAATTGAATTTTTAGAGGGCTCTGCGTTTCCCGACGTAAACGCCCAAGCTCTGCCAAGTTCTGCAGGTAGCTCACCGGATGAGAGTTAATGGGCTGATTAGAACTTTCATCGCCGAAAATTCGCCACGATGATGAAACTAACTGAAGCGGGGAGAGAAGATTATTCGACAGTGCAGAACGCACGAGATTTTTTCACAAAGTATTCGAGTCGAACTTTTGATGCCACTTTGATGCTCTTAAGGATTGCTTACGTCTATTTTGATGGCCGATAGTCTTAAAAACTTACTTTGACGATACTGATATTTATTAACCTCCCTTTCTTGAATCTTTAATTCGACATAGGGTGTTTGATAAGTCAGTGATTTTGAAAGGAAAGAGTTCTTTTTTTTTTTAATGCGACTTTTTAATGATTTATCAAATACCCCTGGTACAAATGTAATTTTAATTCTATCTTGAACAAACTATTTTGATGTTAAAACGACGAAACCGTTTAAACTGCCGCATCGAACATCCGGAATTAAGGAAGCTATTTTCCAATCACCACTTTACTCGTTACTCACGTTAAAAAAAATAGCTTGCACTTACCACGTATATATATATATAATATTTATTTCGATAGCAATTCCGTTACCGTTAATGTTACTCAAGAAATAACGAGTCGTTACAATTTCCAATATTTTCCTCGCGAAATTTTGCTGAAAACCTTCTGTTATGTTACGCTGTCGTCCGTTCGATGCAGCTCCGCATCCTGCATAAAGTAATAATGAAAATAGCGATTATATTCATTACCATTATTGCATTACCGTTGCTAACGGAAAAAAAAAAGAAAAGAAAGAAACGCCGTTGCCAAGTCGTTATCGAAAAAAGGAGCTTGTAACAATAACAGAATTACGAGTAACGAATTCCAACCCTATATAAATATACAGTCAGCTCTTATTGGTTCATTTACTTCCGTCCGGATGAATTTTTCCGACGAATGTATCTCGCGATTCATCGTTCGTTCACTTTCGCGGCTACTCGCAGTTTCGCCATTCGGTGGCTGAACTGTTCCCGATAATGACAGCGGGCTCACACTTTAGTTGGTAATCAAATGTTATTTGTGTGCCGCAGGTGTCGCGCACGGCATTAGATGTTACAAATGCGGACAGTACAACGAGGGAGTCGGCAGCATTACACCGTGCATTAATTACACCGCACACATGCTGATGGAATGTCCAACCTCGGACGAATGGTGCATCGTAAGTACAGGATTATTTCCCGCGCAAATTTTCGAGCGGCGAAACGACGGCGGGGAGAATAATACCTCGAAGCGCGTGACGCGCGCGTCACGATTCTCGAAATGGCACGGGACACTTCGAAATACCATAGTAATAAAATACGGAACGTGTCTCGCATCGGTATTAATTAAAACAAATTTTTCATATTATCGTTTCGCTTCTGCTTACATTTATACGTTTTTCATTATTATTTGCTTTCTCTTTTCTTTCTGTCGCCTTTGTGTTGTTCTTTTCTTCTCACTTTAATGTAACGTAATAAGAAAATAAGAAAGTAAATAAGAAAATAAGGGAATAGGGAAAATCGAAAATAATATCAGCAGCATTTTTTCTCGTCTCTGAGCGTTAATGCTCTTTTTTGTATGAAATCCTAAACACAAAGCAATCACGATATTTTCTTATAATAAACTATCTTTCTATTATTTCACATAAATTCAACCTACGTTATGAGAAGGTTATTTATGCAAAAAGCACACACACACACACACACACACACACATATACATATATATATTAATTAATTTTTTATTTACGTAACTTTTAACTTAGTTAAAAATAAAAATTAATGTAGCAAACCGTAATTCTTAAGTAATTTGAATTAAATCTAAGAACTTTGCGATTATTTATTTGGAGGGTAGTTGTAAACATTCCTTCCTTATCGCGCGATTTGCGCGCCAAATCCGATCGCGACGTGCAAATAATCCGTGTCCGTCCATTCGTCGCGACGCCGTTGTTTGAACTCTCCTCCCGGCTGGAAGCGAGAAACTAGCCGAGCGCGAGTTCCGTAAAAAGATAAATATTTCTCTCTCATATAGGCGTCGATGTGCGGCGCCAGCGATCGCTTGACATTCTTCCAAAGTCGGCTATAACGAACGATGTTATTTATTTCTCGGCGGACTCGCCGATGTCGGATTTATGAGATGAGTCCGCGCAAATTGGCTCCCGAGGTCTTCCTTCTGCAAGCTTGCGCGTTCATCCGCCGGCGAAAGCTCCAGCGACTTCTACCTTTTCGGTGACCAAGTTTTTCCCTCACGGATGTACCGGAATGGAAATCTCCCGAGTACCGAGATATAACGCGCATTCCACCGGTTCGGAAATGGAACTGTAAATATACAGATATAACCCTCTCCCACTCCGCCTCTCCCCTTCCCTCTCCCTCCGTCGGATTTCCTCGGCTGATCCGAGTATCAAATTTTTCAAGGGTCCAAACGGATACTTCGTGGCGGAATAAGTGTCGCGGCCGGGACGTAAATTAAGTTTACGCGCGTAATAAAGTCTCACGGGGCCTCTCCCGAATTCGCCCCGAACGTTCCCGTGGAGTCAGGAATCAAGGTGGAAAGGTCGATGATGGTCCGTTTGTGGCGCGACAATGGGAGAAACGATTGGAAACCTGATCTCGTCGGAACGAGACGGCACGAATCTCTCCGGATCCCCTTCCTTTCCCCCCTCACCCCTCCATTCCCGCCCTCACTCGATCGTTCTCCTCCCCCTGCCTCTCTCTCTCTCTCTTGCTCGCTCTCTCTATAGCGGCAACATGAATCTCCAAGTTTACATTCGCCGTCTTAATAAAACGATCTAATCAGCGTAACGGTCAAACCTCCCTGCTTCCCCCACTTTATTTCGTTCGCCTACAATTTGCCTTTTCCATTTTTCGTCGATTTTGTGGCACGACCCACGTCGAGGGTGAGCGGGAGCCAACGCGGGAACAACCACATGTAAATAGATATAATATATGACTCAAGTGAAAAACGGGGGAAATCTCTCGGAATCCGATATTAGGCTGCAACCTTAGTCCAAATTTTGGCCATTTTGTGTTAAATCTCTCAATTGAGGTAAGTACTTTTCACAATATCATATAAGTGGAATTAATATATGCTACACTAATTATTTCAATATTCGGGATAAAGTTAAGAGGAATTATACAGGGTGTCGCAAACTAATCTTTCGGTTCCCGTGGTGTGCAAGTAGAACAGATGAACCCGAGCAGAAAAGTCGTGTGCCATTCTGCAAAGTTCGCAACAGTTAACGAGGAATTAATTATTTTGTCTGAACTACTGAGCGCACGGGAAGAGGTGGGCTGGTCTCTGTATAAAGAAAACTGGCTTCTTTCATATATAAGATATAAAACAAATTGAAAATTGGAATGAGAAGCAGAGAATGGAGAAAAGAATTTGATAATAAATATCTACGCCTCGGAGACGTACGTTGGTATACTCGGATTAAGAGCGTTACAGTGTGAAAATTTCAACTCGGGGAAACGTCATCGAGGAATTCATTACTTCGTTTCGCACACACACACTCTCTCTCCTTCTCTCTTTCTCAATTTATTACTCCGATCACTGCACCGCATTCCGTAAACATGTTTATACGAATCCCCCTGTTGGCACCGTTCGCCGAAGGCGAAGCCGTGTGTGCGAAGCGGGACTGGAGCTCGAATTATCACGAAATCTCGCGATCATCCCTTGTCGCGACTGATCCCGATTTTATTGTACGCTATATTATCGTAAGCTCCCTCGCTCTTCCGACCGTCGGAGAAGTGAGAAACGTAGTGAAGGTAAAAGAAACGTGATATACGTGTGCTCGTTCGATTACGGTCAGTAACGGTGGCACGTTGTCCGCCCATCGAATTCACAGACGGGCACGTTCCCACCGATTATTTTCCCCGGCATATTGAATTTGGCCTCTCTCTCGATTTGTCTCCTTCTCTACCGTCCTCTCCCCCTCTTTCTCTCGCCCTATACGATCGTCTGTAATTAAATGCTCGCCGTGCATGCGATAGCCCGAAGTCTCCTCGATTTCGAGATAACCGGCAATTCCCGACGGCGGGGCGGTTCGATGCCTCGGGCCAAGGTGCATTCACTGCAGGCATTGCATTATTACGCACGCTTCCCTTTAGTGCACCGGCGAGCATCCCGATTTGCCCTTCAAATTAGTGCCAATTGCATATATCACGATGTATTAATTAACATTTAGCTATGTTATCGGCCGTAACAGGCCTGCGTCCATATGTAGTCTCCTGGGTGAGCTTCCTCTCCCTCTTTCTTTCTCTGGCTCCGGCGAAAATTCACGGTATCGGCGACAAGCCTCGGCGTAATGACTGAACTTTTGGCGCATTTAACGTTTTGAATGCGATCCAATTATTTGATTCATCGTGCCGGTAAAAACCGCTCACCGACGACGGCCGGACGATTCCCATTAACGCGCGATCGTTGCGCGATTATCTTGAGTCGGGTAAAAACCGGGGGGAGGGGGACATACACATTCGAAATAAAATTCGGCCGTTGTTTCGGCGCGAAAAGCGACGGTTCCCAGCTTTCGAGGCCGGGAAGTTGGAATGTTTGCGATGTTACGGGAAAACGATCGCGACTACGCGGTGATTCTCGCGGTCTGTGCACAGCCGACAACGCAAGTTATTCTCAAGGGAATCGATTTGACCGGCCCCGGTCGTTCTCTTAATCCTTCCGCTCTGTTTTCGTTAAGAACTTGATTAATATTCGATCTGTTTGTCCCGTTGTTACCACGATCGAGAAAGTTATCTCGTTACCGCGCGCGAAGGAAGGATCGCGCGCGCTCGAGGAGCTTTAAAAAAATATTTTATTTGCGTATTTATGACAGCGAAACTATCGTCGGCCTCGATTAAATCTCCCGCGAGCTCACCGTCGGAAGACGCCGTTCGACATCCGTAAAAATAATCTTCCTTTTAAATAACGCAAGGACGGGTCCGCGGCGTTTGCGGCGCCGTTGTTACTTATTAACGCCGCGGTCACCCCGTTCGAGTTTCAGGGGCGCATAAGCGATTATGAGAATATTTATATTGCGCGAGAGGCCTTGACATCCCCGTGCGGTGTGAGAGAACGATTTCGCCTCTCGGCCGTTTTCTCTGATCTGACGAGCCGAATAAGATGACGAATGTCCGGTGAATGTCTAAAATTATTTTTATATCGCCGTGAGAGAGAGCGCCGATAACATATTACTCCACTTATAACGCGATTAAGAATGCATTTGACCTACAATTGTTCCACTCTACTCTACTCTTACCCTCTCTTTTTCTCTCTCTCTCTCTGCCCCTCGTAAGTAGAACAATCCGAAATGGTTGGACGTGTGCTCGCATTTTCCCGAGTTGAAATTTTGGCGCCACTTTGATGCTCTTAAAGAGTTAGTTCGCGCCTATTTAGATGGCCTATTTAGATTAGTGAAAAGATACTTCGATACTGACACTTATTAATTTCTCCTTAGAAACTTTACCCCCGTAGAAAATGTCTTGAGATCTAATTGGAGTCCAGTGCGATTTTCCAAATATTAATAATGGATTCTAATTGAGAAACCGATAATTGAGATTTGCTAAGAGTATTAATTGTCCATATATCCAATAAATAGCAATGAATATTCTTAACACATTGACAGCCGGCCCCACGAAAACGCTGGTTTCTGAGCCTGTCGCTTGAGCGCCAGCTCCGCGAAAGCGCGGATTTCTGAATCTGTCGCTTGAGTAGCTGCGACAGTAAAAAGAAGCGAGAGTAACTTTATGTGTGCTGAATGCTTAGTACCTTTACATCTTGGACAATATTTCGAGAAATACCACACTTGCCTTAAATATTAAAACTTTTGTTTTCTGTTTACGTTATATATATGTAATAATCCACCATGAAATGAGAAACTGTATTTCTTTTATAATTATAAATTAAAAATTTCAATTTTGTTTATATTTTTAATTACCGTTAAATTGTATTTGACTAATATGCAAATAAAATGTACTATTTTACGAAAATATATAATGTTTTAAATATTTTTTTTGGCTATTCAGTGATCAGAAACAAGCGAATAAGGCCGGCGCTCAGGCTTTAAATGTCTCTTAGGTCGCCGGCTGTCAATGTGTTAACAAATCTTTCCGCTGTCCAAACAAAATTTTTTGCTGTCTAAATAAATTTTGTTTTGCTGTCACTATATTGACAGACGTTTGCAAA